AACTTTTAAATAGTTGATTTGATATTAACATTGATATATTTTTTTTCAAATTTTTATGATATCTTTAAATTTATATTTTATTCAAAAATAAAATTATTATTTATTTCTTAAAAACACATAAAACCGTATTATAAGATCGACAAATACAATAATAAAATAGAACATTAAAATCGAGATATGTCTCGCTACATTGCACGAGTACTCTTTTAATATTTTTTTAATGGAGATTGTATTAAGATAATTAAATTTAAACTTTTTAAAAAAAATATAACTTTTCTAAAAAATATTAAACTTTTCTAAAAAATGAAATTTTCTGAAAAATAATTAAACTTTTTTTAAAAAATAATTTTTAAGAAAAAAATTAAATTTTGAAAAGAAAACAAATTTAAATAATTGAAAATCATTTAAATTTTGAAATGTTTTTTAATAAAAAACTAAATTTATAACAAAAATATATTACTAAGAAATATTATAATTTAAAAAAATAAAATATTTAAAAAATTAAGAATTTAAAAAAAAAAAAAAAACTAAATAAAAATTAAAAGAAAAGTGTGGGGCCCTTACGTAGCGAAATGTGAGTGGTGCGTAAGGACGGGACCCACCTCTAGATTTTTTTTCTTAAAATCATAATTTTTATTAATTACAAAAAAGTTCATGTACGTATTTAACGGTGCTAACAGGGTAACCCAAAACCATTTTATCAAATCTTTTAATAATGTGGCCAAAAGTGTAATTTATTAATTTTAAGTGATTATTTTGGTAAGGACCCCCATAAAACATCATAGTGTCATCATAACTCGTGCGGCATGAGGCTTAAGCATCTAGAACTGCGGAAAATATACATGGTTTATTTATTAAAAAAACTTTTTACATAAATATCGTGAATTGATAAAGGAAAAAAAAAGTGATATGTTGGGTGTATCACGATGATTCCACCCGTACTGAAAACAATAACGGATAATATTTGACTAAAGGAGTTTCTATTGCCACCCCCTGTCAATTTTCATACCCCCCTCGTCATCATGTCCTCTTACATAACAATTTTTAAATGTATTTTTTAATTTTAAAATTACACTTTATATCCTTATTGTTACTTAATCAAATCGTTTACGTCCTTTACTTTTTCATTTTATGTTTTACACTCTTATCACATAACGTACATAATTGTATATTAACTAAAATACGTAAAAAAAAACGTTTTAATTTTAACAAGTTAGATCATTATAAACGTTTCGTCAATATCTTCAAAATGAGCCCAATATTGAATATTTTTTGATCTATTTATATTATTATATCATATATATATATATATATATAATGAAAAAATATTTTTAATACTTATACTTTAGACTTTTGTAGTTAATTATTTAATTTATGATACATCTCTTTGTTTTTTCAATTTTCTTTTTACACTCTTATCACATTAACATACATAATCGTATATTAGCTAAAATACGCTAAAAAATACGTTTTATTTTAACAAGTTACGTCATTATAATTGTCTCGTCAATCTCTACAAAATGAACCTAATAATGAATATTATTTGATTTAATTATATTGTTATAATCGTCTTTTCAATACATTTGAAATGAACATAATATTGAATATTTTTTGATTTAATTATATTATTATCTATCATATATAGTACGAAGAAAAGTATTTTTAATACTTACACTATATACTCTTATAGTTAATTATTTAATTTTTTAGTATATTCCTTACTTTTTTATTTTCATTTTACACTTTTATCACATTAACATACATAATTGTATATTAATTAAATTATGTTAACAAAATACGTTTTTATTTTAACAAGTTACACATTATAATCGTCTTGTGAATACCTTCAAATGAGCCCAATATTAAATATTTTTGGTTAATAATATTCTTAAATACCATAACGACGTAAATTATTTTTAATACTTACATTTTATACCCTTATATTTATTATTTAATTTGTTTTATATACATTACTTTTTTCATTTTTTGTTGTACATCTTTATTATATTACATACATAATTGTATATTAACTAAAATTAGTTAAAAATATGTTTTTATTTTACAAACAATAACGGAGAATATTTTACAAACAACACGTGGCAGACGCATGATTGCATTTTGCTCCCCTGAAACCACCAGCGAACGCACTAATCGGTTTTGGCGTTTGAAAGGCAAAAAAAGCGTCACCCTTCTTCATACACAAACACCAGATTTGTTCTATCTCCCAGAGAGACAGGGATGGATGAGAGGTTAATACAGAGGTTGGAGTCCGCCATAGCCAGGCTAGAATCGATCTCCCTCGGTTCTCAACCACAAGCCGTTGCATTTGACGCCGCATCAGTCTCATCGGAACCATCAATCGTCGCATTTGAAGATCTGGTGGCTGAATATGTCGGTAAGGTCACCGATGCTGCGGGGAAGATTGGCGGACAAGTTCAGGATATTACGAATGTTGTCAGTGAAGCTTTCTCTGCTGAGAAGGAGCTACTCATGAGGATCAAACAAACGCAGGTTAATTTTGACAGATTCTTCATTTGCAATTGTAATTACATTACGCGAATTGTGTATCTATGGACTTATGTTCATCATGATGAATGACGTTTGACCCTCGGTATAACATTGTTTTGTTTTTCACTTTAATCCACGTATCCTTGTATTTGTGCTCGAATTTAAATGGTAATCGCTCGTCTCGAGATAAGGAGATTCTACATATTTATATCATCGCAGGATCACCATTAATGGTTTAGATGCAAAAAAACTGAAATTCGTTTTGTTATCAGGCATCTAAAATGTACATGCATATATACACATGCACACAAATATACATATACAGATTGCATTTACGTACATTACATGTGTGTGTGTGTGTGAAATTGGGTGAAAAATAATGCATGAACGTTGTTTTGATTGGATACGACCGTCAAGAACCAAAATGTGAAATTACAGTTGAGTTTAAACAAAACCGTGAAATTACAGTTGAGTTTAAACAAAACCTCAAAAAGAGATATAGATATTACTTTAAACAACATTTAGGGGTAATATGATCACTTTAATAGTTTTGTCATGTCCTATTCTAGTCGTACTAAACATAGGACAAACAATTAGTCATGTCCCGTCCCGTCCCGTACCAAACACTACCTAAAAGTTGGAAGAAATTCTTATTGAATCTGGGACAATAACTACAGCTAATACCTACATTTATTTATGGATGAAATCAAAAGCCATAAGCCTCTAGTTTTGGATGGAAAAGGAAAGCTTAAAAGCCTCGTTTGATATGGAAAATGACGTATTTTGTATTGTTTTTAGTTGCATAAAGCCTATTATATGGCCATAGACTTTTTTCTATTTTGATTGCTTCTCTTACTGACAATCTAATAATACGCCTAAAAGAGTTGATATTGTAGATTGTTTAAAAGTTTATTCATTGATTTGCATTGCCCATTCAATTGCTACGCCAAACGCCAACAAAACTAGTGCTATTGTAATTTTGTTGTTAATTATCTGTGTTAACATGAGGAGTCTAAGGAA